GCGTGTAGGTGCGTGTACGTGCGTGTATGCGTGTACGTGCGTGTATGCGTGTACGTCCGTGTATGCGTGTACGTGCGTGTATGCGTGTGCGTGCGTGTGTATGCGTGTACGTGCGTGTATGCGTGTACGTGCGTGTATGCATGTACATTATGCGTGTATGTGTTGTTGCAGGGCTAAGATGCAGCATTACGGCGCTGGCTACGGTCTGGGGGCGCTTGGCATGATGTACGGTCTACACCAGCAGCAGCACCTAGCTCAGAATCCATACCTAAGTCCTGACTACCGCAGCTCTCTACACGCCATCAGCCTAGCTGAGAGACTCGCAGGTAAAACACATGATGTGTGTGTATGTGTGTGTGTGTGTGTGTGTGTGTGTGTGTGTGTGTGTGTGTGTGTGTGTGTGTGTCGTGGTGGGTGACGTGGCGGCGTGTATGGCTTAAGTGTGGCTTAGGATAGCATACTAAACGCATACTCTATGCGAAGCCATGGGATATAGTTATTGTTAAATGGGATAATAGTTTGACTTGTAACAGGCATATTAGTTATTGTTAACATGGGATTATAGTTATTGTTAACTGGGATATAGTTATTGTTACCATGGATATAGTTATTGCTTACATAGGGAATATAGTTATTTGTTAACATGGGATCCATAGTTATTGTTAAATGGATATAAGTTATTGTTAACATGGATATAGTTATTGGTAACATGGGATATAGTTATTGTTAAACGATGGGATATAGTTATTGTTACATGGGATATAGTTATTTGTTACCATTGGGATATAGTTATTGGTCTTAATCTGGGAGTATAGTTATTGGTTACATGGAGTATAGTTATTGTACATGGGATATAGTTCTTGTTATGATGGGATATAGTTATTTGTTAACATGGGATATGCTTGTTGTTAACATGGTATATAAGTTATTGTTAAAGGGATTAAATAGTTATTGTTAACATGATAGTAGTTATTGTTCACATGGGATATAGTTATGTTAACATGGGAGTATAGTTATTGTAACATGGGTAATAGTTATTGTTGAACATGGGCATATAGTTATTGTTAACATGGGATATAGTTATTGTTAACTGGATAATTAGTTATTGTTAACTATGGGATATAGTTATTGTTAAATGGGATATAGTTATGTATACATATGGATTAAGTTATTGTTCAACAATGGGATATAGTTATTGTTAACCATGGTATATTATTGTTACATGGGCATATCGTTATTGTTAACATGGGATTAGTTATTTGTTCAGCATGGGAATAGTTATTGTAGACATGGAATATAGTCTCTCTGTTTAACCCGATCGAGTAATAGTTATTGTTAACATGGATATACGTTAATTGTTAATCGATGGATATTAGTTATTGTTAACATGGATTATAGTTATTGTTAACATGGGATATAGTTATGTTAAGCATGGGTATATAGTTATTGTTAACATGGATCATAGTCTTTTTAACATGGAGTATAGTTATTGTTAACAGTGGAGTATAGTTATTGTTACCATGGGATATAAGTTATTGTTAAACATGGGAACATAGTTATTGTACATGGGATATATGTTATTGTTCACATGGGATACGATAGTTCTTGTTAACATGGCAGTATAAGTTATTGTAACATGGAGTAAGTATTGTTAACATGGAGTGAAGTTTTGTTAACATGGGAATCATAGTTATTGTTAACATGGCGATATAGTTACTTGTTAACATGGGTATAGTTATTGTTATACATGGGATATAGTTTATTGTTAACATGGGATAGTATTTATTGTTAAGCATAGGGGATATAGTTATTGTTTAACATGGGATATAGTTATTGTTAACATGGGATATAGTTATTCGTAATATGGGTATATAGTTATTGTTTTTAATGGGCATAGTAGTTATTGTTAACATGGGATATAGTTATTGTTAACATGGGATATAGTTATTGTTAAGCATGGGATTATAGTTATTGTTACATGGGATATAGTTATTGTCAACATGGGCTCCAGTTATTGTTAACATAGAATATAGTTATTGTTATACATGGGATATAGTTGTTGTTAACATGGATAATAGTTATTGTTAACAGGGATATAGTTATTGTTAAGCATTGGGATGATAGTTATTGTAACACGTGGGATATAGTTTTTTTTAAGCATGGAGTACGTAGTTAGTTGTTAACATGGGATATAGTTATTGGTTAATTGGATATAGTATTGTTAATCATGGGATATAGTTATTGTGTAACATAGGAGTATAGTGTTCTTGATTTAATATGGGATATAGTTATTGTTTAACATGGATATAGTTTTATTGTTAACATAGGATATAGTTATTGTTAACATGCGGGATATAGTTTTATTGTTTAACAATGGGATACTAGTTTTGTTGTTAATGGATACTAGTTGATTGTTAACGATGGGAATATAGTTATTTGTTAACATGGGATATAGTTTATTTGTTACCATGGGATATAGTTGTTGTTAAGCATGGAGTATAGTTGTTGTTAACAATGGGATATAGTTATTGTTAACATAGATATAGTTATTGTTAATATGGGATATAGTTATTGTTAAGCATGGGATATAGTTATTGTTAACTAATGGATCTACGTTATTGGTTAACGATGGGATATAGTTACTTGTTTAAGCATGGGACTATAGTTATTGTTAACATGGGATATAGTTATTGTTAACATGGGATAATAGTCTGTTGTTTTAACGATGGATACTAGTTTATTGTTTAACATGGTGCTAGCAGTTTATTTGTTACATAGGATGATAGTTATTGTTAAGCATGGATAATAGTTATTGTTAATCTGGATATAGTTATTTGTATACATGGATATAATGTATTGTTACATGGGATTAGTTATTGATACACATCGATATAGTTTATTGGTTAACATGGGATAAGTAGTTGTTGTTACAGCATGGATATAGTTATTGTAACATGGGCTACAGTTATTGTTAACATAGGATATAGAGTCTATTGTTACAATGGGATATAGTGTATTGTTAAGATGGGATATGTTGTTGTTAACATGGGATATAGTCATTGTTAACCTGGGTAGACGTTCTGTGTTAACATATGGATAAATAGTTATTGTTAAGCATGGGATATAGTTATTGTTAACGGCTGGGATATAGTTTATTGTTAACATTGGGATATAGTTTAATTGTTAACATGGGGATATAGTTTATTGTTAACATGGGATATAGTTATTGTTAACATGGGATATTTTTGCGACAGTCTGTCTGTCTGTCCGACTGACAGCTACAACCCTTTGATGTTTCGCCACCCTCGAATAATTGTAATTATAAAGGAATTTTTCGGTAACGCATATGCATTTAAGTATATATAAATGCGTATTCGTTACAGAAAATTCTTTATACAATTCAATATTCATAGGTGTGTATATTTATATATATATATATATATATATATATATATATATTATATGTATATATATATATATCACAGTAGTGTGTTATATGAAATTCTCTATGACGGTTTACGTGCCGCGTAAAGATTGGAACAGAATCCACGGCAGAAATAAACCTAATAAAGCTAATACAGCGTATAGATTTTCAAACATAAAACCCTAAGCGAAAACGGAGGCGGAACGTGAAAAAAATAACCGCCCCGCTTAAAATCCCTAATAAAACGTGTGCACAGAAACGCACAAGAAAACATGCAATAACGCGTATAAAAATACTCCGTAGAAAAACACCAATAAAGCGTTCGCTCTTAACCAGCAAAAATCTGACGAAAAAAGACTAATATCAGTCGAAAGAAAAAACAATCTAATACTTTAGTTCTCTCGTGCTCCGATAGAGGCACGGTATGGCGTCCACCGGAAGCAGCGTCGCAGCAGGACGGCGTTCACCAATCAGCAGCTAGCAGCGCTGGAGAAGACTTTTCAGAAGACGCACTACCCGGATGTGGTGATGAGAGAGAGGCTGGCGATGTGTACGAACCTACCGGAGGCCAGGATACAGGTGGAGATATATTATAAGAACGTTCTCCTCTCTCTCAGCGGCGCGCTTGCTCTCTCTCTTCGTCTCTCGTCTCTCTCTCCCTGCTCTCTGCTCCTCACGCGGGCGCGTTCTCCTCTCTCTCGTCATCCATCTCTCTCTCTCAATCTCTCTTCTCTCTCTCTTCCTCGTCTCTCTCTCTCTCGTCTCTCCTCCGGTCTCTCTGACGTGCTCTCCTCTTCTGTCTCGCTCTTTCTTCTCTCTCTCCGTCTCGTCTTCTTCTCTCCTCTTCTCACTCCTCTCTCTCGTCTCTCTCTGTTAACCGTCTCTCCGTCTCTATCTCTCTCTTCTCCTC